TTTTTTAAAAGGCTGAGCACAGTGATTCACGCCTGTAATCCCAACACTTTGGAAGGCTAGGCAGGTGGATCACGAGATCAGGAGTTCAAGACCAGCCTGGCCAACATGGTAAAAACCTGTCTCTACTAAAAATACAAAAAATTAGCTAGGTATGGTGGTGCATGCCTGTAATCCCAGCTACTCGGGAGGCTAAGGCAGGAGAATCGCTTGAAGCCAGGAGGTGGAGGTTGCAGTGAGATGAGATCACACCACTGCACTCCAGCCTTGGCAACAAGAGGGAAACTCCATCTCAAAAAAAAAAAAAAAAAAGCTTTTAAACAAGGAGTAACATAGTCTGACTTATGTTTTTAAAAGCTTCCTCAGGCTGAGTGTGATGGCTCAGATTTATAATCCAGCATTCTGGGAGGCCGAGATGGGAGGATTACTTGAGCCCAGGAGTTTGAGACCAGCCTGAGCAATATAGTAAGACCACATCTCTACAAAAAAAAAGAAAAAAATTAGCCGGGCATGGTGGCACACACTTGTGGTTCTGGCTACTTGAGAGGCAGAGGCAGGAGGATCACTTGAGCACAGGAGGTCGAGGCTGCAGTGAGTCATGAATGCCACCGGGCAACAGAGACCCGGTCTCCAAAAACAAAGAAAATATCCCCTCCTACTACTACTGTGGACAAAGGAGGAAACAGAGCTCTGGTTCAGGGAGTGAGAATGGGGGTCAGGATCAGGTGGTGGTAGTAAAGAGGGTAAGAAGTGATCAGAATCAGGGCCAGGCTTGTTGGCTCATGCCTGTAAAGCCAGCACTTTGGGAAGCTGAGGTAGGGGGATCACTTGGGCCAGGAGTTGCAGACCAGCCTGGCCAACATTGCGAAACCCTGTCTCTAATAAAAATACAAAAATTATCTGGGCGTGGTTGTGCACGCCTGTAATTCCGGCTATTTGGGAGGCTGAGGCATGAGAATAGCTTGAACCCAGAGGGCGGAAGTTGTAGTGAGTTGAGATTGTACTACTGAGCTCTATCCTGGGCAACAGAGCAAGACCCTGCTTCAAAAACAAATAAACAAAAATCAAGAGAAATTTCAGAGGGAGGATAGACAGAATAAGGCAGTTGAGGGAGGTAAAGGGAGAGAGGCAAAGGGTGGGAGGCAGAGAGGAGAATATGAGGAGAGAGAAATCCATGACCTCTGACTTCGATGGGAGGGAGGGAAGGAGAGATGGAGACACAAGACAGGGAGTGGATATGGGGAAGGAGTCAAAAGCGTTTATGGGATGTGTTATACAAAACTTATAGGAGGCCCAACAAACTAAACCAAAACGGAGCCACTCATGCTAAAGTCCTACATGAGCAAACTGAAACTAAGTTGTTTATCTGACCTTCTAAGAAATCAGGAGAGAGCGATAAGATAGCCAAATCTCCAGCCAGGTCAGTTTTAGCCAGCATGATAAGGAAGTCCTCTCTGCTCTAAGCTTTACAAGAAAAGTAACTGGGCTGAGTGCAGTGGTGGCTCATGCCTGTAATCCCAGCACTTTGGAAGGTCAAGGCAGGAGGATCACTTGAGCTCAGGAGTTCAAATCCAGCCTGGGCAACATGGCAAGACCCTGTCTCTGCAGAAAAATTAGCTGGGCCTGGTGGCACATGCCTGTGATCTTAGCTCCTCAAAAGGCTGAGGTGGGCAGACTGCTTGAGCCCAGGAAGTTGAGGCTGCAGTGAGTTATGATTGCACTACTGCACTCCAGCCTGGGTGACAGAGCAAGACTCAGACTCCAAAAAAAAAAAAAAAAAAAAAAAAAAGGAAACTTTAAAATGACCAATCCACGTTTTTTTTTTTTTTTTTTTTTTTTTTTCTGAGTTGGAGTTTCACTCCTCTTACCCAGACTGGAGTGCAATGGTGCGGTCTCAGTTCACTACAACCTCTGCCTCCTGGGTTCAAGCGATTCTCCTGCCTCAACCTCCTGAGTAGCTGGGATTATAGGCACCCACCACTGCACCCTGCTAATTTTTTTGTATTTTTTAGTAGAGATAGGGTTTCACCATGTTGGTCAGGCTGGTCTCAAACTCCTGACCTCAGGTGATCCACCCACCTGAGCCTCCCAAAGTGCTGGGATTACAGACGCGAGCCACTGCGCCCGGCCTCTACGTTTTATTTTCTGTTCCTGCTTTCCTTGGCCCTTCTTCTGCCTGTAAAACCAACCTGCCTGCTCAACTCCTGGGAAAAGTAGTTTCATTTTGTGAAATGCAGTGTTGCCCGATTATAGAATTGCAAATAAAATCAAGTAAACCCTTTAAACTAAATGTGTTGTGATTTTGTTTTTTGACAGATGCCCGATGAACACCCTGGGAATGAGATCCAAGAGGCAGTAATAGTGACTGCTCTAATAGCCAGCACATCGGCTGTGTGCTTATTCCACACTGTATAACATATTTATTCAGCACTGGGGAAGTTACAGCAGTGATGAGGACAGATGCAGTCCCTGACCTCATGAGGCTGATATTCTGTTAATGGAGGACAAAAAACAAACAGATCAATGGATCAAGAAAGTCACGGGGCTTTTTGGGTTTTTTTTAGACAGGGTCTTGCTCTGTTGCCCAAGTTGGAGTGCAGTGGGGTGATCATGGTTCACTGCAGCCTCGACCTCCCAGGCTCAAACGATCCTCACGCCTTGGCCTCCCAAGTATCTGGGACCATGACATGCAGCACCATACCTGGCTAATTTATTTCTATTTTTATTTATTTTACCTGTTAGACCTTCCTTGATTTTTTTTTTTTTTTTTTTTTTTTTTTTTTTTTAAGAGACTGGGTTTGACACGTTGCCCAGGCCGGTCTTAGCTCCTGGCCTTAAGTGATCTTCCCACCTCGGCCTCCTCAAAGTGCACGTTTACAAGCATGAGCTACCCTAGCTGGCCAAAAAAAAAGCAATGTATACTTTATGTTAATAATATTGCACTGTGCCGGGCACGGTGGCTCAAGCCTGTAATCCCAGCACTTTGGGAGGCCGAGGCGGGTGGATCACGAGGTCGAGAGATCGAGACCATCCTGGTCAACATGGTGAAACCCCGTCTCTACTAAAAATACAAAAAATTATCTGGGCATGGTGGCGCGTGCCTGTAATCCCAGCTACTCAGGAGGCTGAGGCAGGAGAATTGCCTGAACCCAGGAGGCGGAGGTTGCGGTGAGCCGAGATCACGCCATTGCACTCCAGCCTGGGTAACAAGAGTGAAACTCCGTCTCAAAAAAAATAAATAAATAAAAATAATATTGCACTGTGGCCGGGCGCGGTGGCTCACGCCTATAATCCCAGCACTTTGGGAGGCCGAGACGGGTGGATCACGAGGTCAAGAGATCGAGACCATCCTGGTCAACATGGTGAAACCCCATCTCTACTAAAAAATACAAAAAGTTAGCTGGGCATGGTGGCGCGTGCCTGTAATCCCAGCTACTCAGGAGGCTGAGGCAGAAGCATTGCCTGAACCCAGGAGACGACAGAGGTTGTGGTGAGCCAAGATCGCGCCATTGCACTCCAGCCTGGGTAACAAGATCGAAACTCTGTCTCAAAAAAAAAAAAAAAATTGCATTGTGGGCCGGGCACAGTGGCTCACACCTGTAATCCCAGCATTTTGGGAGGCCAAGATGTGTGGATCACCTGAGATCAGGAGTTCGAAACCAGCCTGACCAACATGGAGAAACCCCATCTCTACTAAAATTAGCTGGGCGTGGTGGCGCATGCCTATAATCCCAGCTACTCAGGAGGCTGAGGCAGGAGAATCGCCTGAACTCGGGAGGCGGATTTGCAGTGAGCCGAGATGGCGCCATTGCACTCCAGCCTGGGCAGCAAGAGCAAAACTGTCTCAAAAATAATAATAATATTGCATCATTGTTTATTGAAAATTTGTCAAGAAAGTAAATTTTAGATACTCTCACTACACACACCATTATGGAAGGCAATGGATAGGTTAATTGCTTAACTGTCATAATTATTTCACTGTGTACATGTATATCAAAACAGCAGGCTGTACACCCTAAATATATGAAATAAACACATACTGTATCGTCAGGTAGTGATAAATTCTGTCACTACTGCTACCTGACGATACAGTATGTGTTTATTTTACATATTACTTATATTTATGTTTTACCTATGGGTAAAATATGGGACAAAGAGGAGCAGGAGGTCCTGTTGGAGAGCACCTGATGCCCAATAAGGATTTCTAAGTATTTATTAAAGAACAGCAAAAACTGGCCGGGCGCGGTGGCTCAAGCTTGTAATCCCAGCACTTTGGGAGGCCGAGGCGGGTGGATCACGAGGTCGAGAGATCGAGACCATCCTGGTCAACATGGTGAAACCCCGTCTCTACTTAAAATACAAAAAATTAGCTGGGCATGGTGGCGTGTGCCTGTAATCCCAGCTACTCAGGAGGCTGAGGCAGGAGAATTGCCTGAACCCAGGAGGCGGAGGTTGCGGTGAGCCGAGATCGCGCCATTGCACTCCAGCCTGGGTAACAAGAGCGAAACTCCGTCTCAAAAAAAAAAGAATAGCAAAAACTGGACGGTTGATTCACTCTGTATTTAAGGAAATGATCTGGTTATTCTCAAAAGATTCCATGAGACGGATTTCTTCAGTTTACAGAGGAGGAAACTGAGGCACAGAGGGATAACCTAATGCGACTCTATATAGAGATGGAAACTGCAACCGAGAGAGGAGACCCAGCACTGAGGTCCCCGGAAATGGTCATTTTTAGGCTTGGAGGGGCGAGGCCAAGGGTCAGCGCGCTGACCTATAACGTCATCGGGACGTTAAACGCCGTAGCATCACCGGGACGTAGCCCCATTTCCCTTCCCGCACAGGTCCTCTGATAGTCGGATGTGTGTTCAATCAAGCCGCTCATTGGTTAGTTGCTCCGTCAATCCATTTCATTCCTGCAGTCTTCCGCCCCGCCCACTTAAGTTCACCTTTGATAGGCTGGCGCGGCCGTCACTTCAGAAAGGTCCGCATTCCTTCCGCCTTTCTCCAGGACACCGAGGGAGAGGAGGGTGGATATCAAGCGGCGCCCACCCCCCGGAGCACTATTTTCGTCTCTGATTGGCTCAGCTGGGTGCCAGTCGCTACTCCACCCGCTGCTGATAGGCCATCCAAGCGCCACTCTGCGCGGCGCCGGCCCCGCCCCCGTCGGGTGTTTGTGGTGGGGCTGCGGAGTCGCCGATCCCGCCGGAAGCGCCAGGACAATGGGGACTCGGGACGACGAGTACGACTACCTATTCAAAGGTGAGGCCGGTAGGGCAGAGACAGGCGAGGGCGTGGCGGCAAGGCGACGGGCAGACGGGCCAAGGCCGCGCTCCAGGCTGCCGGGCCCAGCCGGAGCCTGGGGCTTGGGGCCCGGTGGGTCAGGCAGCTGGGAAAGCCGGGGCCAACCGGGCTCCATCAGCTCCGGACTCGTGTGTGTGGCCATGCGGAGCTGGCGGCACGGAGAGACCTAGGGGACCCAGGATGTGCCAGGGCGGGGCCGGGACCTAGAGGGGGTGGGGCCCGGAGCGGTGGGAGAGGCCGTTAGGGGCGGGGCCTCTGGAGGGGGTGGGACCTTCCCGGGATTTGGCGGGCCGGGCTGGGTTAAAAGCGTGATTCGGGATGGGGGCGGGGTTTTAGAGGCGGGGGCTAAGACGTGATGGGCGTGACCAATACGGGGGGTTGGCCTGTTAAAATGGGGGCGGGACTCTCACGAAGCTAGTCCTGATTGGGGCGGTGTGTTTGGGGCGGGGCCCGGGGGAGGTGGGGCAGACAATCGGGTGGGTCGAGATGAGGGCCTGGGGGTGAGGTATATGGTGGCTGGAGTCTTGGATTGGGGTGCAGAGCCGGGATTGAGTGGAGAGGTACCCGTGTGTGCACCAAGAATTTCATCTCTTCACTCAGAACTCCCAACAGCGCTATGCCAATACCTGCACTTTTCTGAGCACTTTACGTGAATGAACTCATTTAAATCCTCACTGCAGCTCTTTGAGGTTGATGTTAACCAGCCTCTCTTTTTATACATTTGGAAACTGAGGCCCAGAGTGACAAAGACACAGTTTATAAGTGTTGGAGCTCGACTGAGCCCAGGCCACCTGTCGGCCTTACCAGTTCGTCTTAGAGTGCTAGTGGCCAGCATCTGGGACTTGCGGTTGTCAGACCACCTTCTTCCAACATGTGTGCACTGACGGCCAGGGCCCCAGCCAGCCTGCTGGAGGGTCTTCCCCGCCCCAGGGACTGAGGGGACTCTGGGAGCATCAAATAAGGCCTAAGTAGATCGGGCAGCCATTGTCCGTTTGGAGACAGCTGGGGGTGAGTTTCCTCCAGCTGGAGGAAGCTGGAATCCTTAGCCTTCTGTGCCAACCTAGACTTTGGCCTGGTCCTCTGACCTTATTGCTGGGCTCACTGGCTGCCAGTGGCAGCCTGCTCTATGAGGGTCTGCATCCCACAACCAGCTGTTGGTATCTTTACCTCGCTGGGCCATCCCTCTGAGCGTGCCCTGTGGCCTGTACCAGGCGTGGCTGGGCCTTGTGTCTGGTCTCATCCAGCATCTTGGGGTTGTGGGAAATGGGGGGGAGGTCTCCCCACCTGGGATGTCCATGTGGCAGAGGGCTTCTGTACAGAGGGAAAGGAAGTGTCTGTGCAACAGCCTAGAGTCATCCCGCAGCGCTGAGGGCTCTGGCAGCTGCACACAGGTTGGTACTGTCACCAGTGGGTGATGTTCTGTGGTCAGCAGGTGCCAGCCCCAAGGTCTTGCCTTCATGGCAGGAGGAAGGGTTTTGGAGACTGGGGATCTGCAGGGCCATCTGGTGACAGGGGGACTATACTTTGGGTCTGGCTGAGCAGGTGCTGTCTCCACTAAGCCCGCCCTGAAGCAGCTGCTCCCAGGTCCTAGCTGGGCACCCACCCAGAGGTGGGACTGCTAGGGAAGGGGGTGTTGCTCCTCACTTGCCCCATCCAGTTTTCTGCAGTCATCGCTGCTTGTTATTTTCGCCCCTTTGCTGTTTTCAGTGACCCAGCTCCGAGTGTTTGCCCAAGTCATGATTTTGCCCTTTGGGTCATTTCCTTGAAGTGTGTTCCCAGCAGAACAGTTAGTGGGTCAGGAGCAACGGAGAGGCTGTGCTGTTCCCGGGACTCATCTGCAGAGACTGCTTCCTGGAAACACTGATCCAGCTTCTGCAGCAGCTGGCATGCATCGGGCGGGCAGTAGGGGGCAGGGGTGTGTCTGCCCCACTGCCCTCCCCACTGGCCTCCTTTTACTGAGTCTAGCAGGTGCTCTGCTGACCTCAAGCCAGTTGGTAGCAAAAATCTAACCCACAAGTTTAGCGTTTCCTAGACTGCTCATCTGCTGTCTCACCTTCACAGCTGTGCCTCATCAGAGGGCCTTTTCTGTTCTCTTTCAATATTTGTGTTCTTTCTTTTTCTTTTTTTCTTTTTTGAGTTGGAGTCTCACTCTGTTGCCCCAGGTTGGAATGCAGTGGTGCCATCTCTGCTCATTGCACCCTCCACCTCCCCAGTTCAAGTGATTATCTTCTGTCTCAGCCTCCTGAGTAGCTGGGATTAAGCGCCACGATGCCTGGCTAATTTTTGTATTCTTAGTAGAGATGGTGTTCCACCATGTAGGTCAGGCTGGTCTTGAACTCCTGACCTTGTGATCCACCTGCCTTGGCCTCCCAAAGTGCTGCGATTACAGGCATGAGTCACCGCGCCTTGCCCCTGCCTTGTTTATTTTGGTGGCCACATCATGCACTGGCTCCTTGACCTCAGCAGCCGAGGCCAGCAGATCCCCTGGGTGATGCCCCATGTGCCGTTTGTTTTTCCTCTGTGAACGTTCTACCCCATTCCCCCAGGAATGACACTGTTGATTTGTACTAATTATAAAACCTCACATTTATCCTCCTTTTTCTCCTTTAGTCACAGGCCATTTCCACAGCCTGCCACTAATTGCCTCGGGCACCCCAGGTTTCTCCTCTGATGGACTCGGGGCTGTGGGATCCACCGTGGGTGCAGCTGTCTCCCCAAGGGCCACTGAGGCCCTCCCAGAGCCCTTCCCCTATCCCAGAGCCCCTGACCAATCAGGACTCACCTGGCCCTGGCGGACATGGGTCGTGGGGAAAATGGTCTGCAGCTGCCCCAGGTCCTGTGCCTTGAGTTTTGTCTGTCCTTCCCCTGCCCAAGGAGAAGGTGGCCGCTGTCTCCAGGGAACAGACCTGGCTGCTGCTTCCCTTTCTCTGCTGAGGTTCCCGAGGCAGTTCCCAGCCCTCGAGCCTCAACAAACTACCGCAGCAGGCTGCTGTTCTGTTTGCTGTTTTAGGGACCCAAAATACCATCTTCTCTGCTTAGAATGGGGGCCCCTCCTGTGCCCTGGCTTTGGACACTTCCCCAGAGAAGAGCTGAGACAAGAGTGCCCCACCGTATCTGCTCCCTGAGACCTAGATGCTTAGGACCAGCTTTCCAGAGGAAGGCTGAGGCATTGCTTGGCTCCACCAGGCTCTGTCCGGAATGGTGTACCATTCCCCTGAAGGACCCCTTAGTCAGCCTGAGCATTAGGGTCTGGGCCCCAGGACAGCCACATTGTAATGGGGCAGGCCAGGATACTCAGGACTTCTCAGAAGTGCCAGCTCTTTGTTTTTGACAACTGGGCTTGCCTGCTCTGTCAGCCAAGTGGCATGTCTGGGGTAGGGGTGCTGCTTCCCAGCCAGTGAAGCCACCAACTTCTGTGACAATGCTGGAAGCTGTGTCCTCAAGGGCTCTTTATTTCTCCAAGACAACAGATTGCTTGTGTCCTAGACAATGATGTTTTCATTCCCAGCCTGCATACTGGACCTGCCCTGCTGGCTACCTCTCTGCATCGGGCACCCAGTGCCAGGGACTGGCTGGGCAGCTCAGCCTCTCTGCCATTTACCTGTTTTGTAGCTCAGGCTGGAGCACAGTGGCTTAGTCTCGGCTCACTGTAACCTCCACCTCCCGAGTTCAAGTGATTCTCCTGCCTCAGCCTCCCAAGTAGCTGGGACGACAGGCTCCCGCTGCCACCATGCCTGGTTAATATTTTTTTTTTCTTTGAGATGGAGTTACCCAGGCTGGAGTGCAATGGTGCGATCTCGGCTCACCGCAACCTCTGCCTCCTGGGTTCAGGCAATTCTCCTGCCTCAGCCTTCTGAGTAGCTGGGATTACAGGCACTCACCACCATGCCTAGCTAATTTTTTGTATTTTTAGTAGAGACAGGGTTTCACCATGTTGACCAGGATGGTCTCGATCTCTTGACATCGTGATCCACCCGCCTCAGCCTCCCAAAGTGCTGGGATTACAGGTGTGAGCCACTGTGCCCGGCTAATTTTTGTATTTTTAGTAGAGATGGGGTCTCACCATGTTGTCCAGGCTGGTCTCAAACTCCTGAGCTCAAGTGATCTGCCCACCTCGGCCTCCCAAAGTGCTGGGATTACAAGCGTGAACCACCGCACCTGACACCTGGCCTGCCATTTACCTATTCAGTGGCTGTTTGTCCCTTGGTCTGACCTGGTCACTGTGGGTTGAGTGTTCCCAGCTGTTCAGGGAGAATGACAATGTTTACATCTGTCTCTAGGGCAGCCCTGAGAATGTCAGCTGAGGCCTCCAAAGCACTGGCGACCCAGCCTCGCCACGGTGCTCAAGAATGTTGGCCAGGCTGGGGCAAAACTGGTGGAGCCGGGTGCTATGGCTCACGCCTGGAATCCCAGAACTTTGGGAGGCTGAGGCGGGTGGATCACTTGAGGTCAGGAGTTCGAGACCAGCATGGCCAACATGGCGAAACCCCATCTCTACTAAAAATACAAAAATTAGCCAGGCATGGTGGTGAACACCTGTAATCCTATCTACTTGGGAGGCTGAGGCAGGAGGATCTCTTGAACTGAGGAGGCAGAGGTTGCAGTGAGCCAAGATGGTATCAGTGCACTCCAGCCTGAGTGAAGGAGATTCAGTCTCAAAAAAAAAAAAAAAAAAAAGAAAGAAAGAAAACTGATGGGCTGAGGAGCCCTGAGGTCGTATAACTGGGGCAAGGCTGGAAGGGAGTGAGGGTGTCGGGGGGATATCCAGGCAGGACCTGAGTTTCCTGTCTTGGTTCCTGAGGATGTGAGAACTGAGCAGACTTCCCCGGCCTTGGCCAGGCTCCTGCAGCTGCCATGGAAAGAGGTTAAGGTTGGTGGTGTGACTGGTGGTCCCTATGGTGAGTCCAGCCTGCCCCCTGTGGCCTGGGAGCCCATTTTTTCGTTCCTACTGACTTGGCTGGGAGGCCCAGGGCCACACACCTACGTTCATTCCACCTCTTTCCGTCTCTCTCTTTTTTTTTTGAGATGGAGTCTTGCTGTGTTGTCCAGCTTGGAGTGCAGTGGCGGAATCCTGGCTCACTGCAAGCTCCACCTCCCAGGTTCAAATGATTCTCCTGCCTCAGCCTCACTTCCCAGGCGGGTTGCTCCAGACAGGTCACTTGGGGCGCACCGTTGGGAGGTGGGAGTGGGCCCACAAATGTGTGTAGATTCAGGGTCCTGCTCTGCCCCGTACCCCATTCTCCATCCAAGCCTCAGTTTTCTCATCTGTAAAAATGGGCTACATGAGCCTTCTGCGAAGTAATGCGCACCAAGAGCTTTCCTTTTTTTTTTTTTTTTTTTTTTGAGATGAAGTTTTGCTCTGTTGCCCAGACTGGAGTGCAGTGGCACGATCTTGGCTCACTACAACCTCCACCTCCCAGGTTCAAGCATTTCTCCTGCCTCAGACTCCCGAGTAGCTAGACTACAGGCGCCCGCCATCACACCTGGCTAATTTTTATATTTTTAGTAGAGATGGGTTTTCACTGTATTGGCCAGGCTGGTCTCGAACTCCTGACCTTGTGATCCACCCACCTCGTCCTCCCAAAGTGCTGGGATTACAGGCGTGAGCTACTGCACCCAGCGGGCACCAAGAGCTTTCTTAGCACAGGCTCATCGAATGTTCTTTTTGTTCTTGTTATTCTTGGCTTCCAAGCAGTCAACCATAGGGGGTACCAGGTGGGGTTGCAGGGGCTGCCTGATCCTACCCTCCTCACCTGTGGCCCAAGAGTAGTGACCTGGCATCCTCCAGGTATGGGGCAGGGGGTATGCCTGGGAGGCTCTGCCAGCCTCTTTGACATTTTGTTTGTTCATTTGACAGACATTTTCTTGTGTGCCAGGTACTGTGCCAGGGCTTAGTTCCTGCCCTTGGGGCAGACCGGCAAAAAATAAATGCCACCTGACAGGTGAGAGAGTGGCAAGAGTGACAGAGGAAGAGCTGGGTCAGGGAACAGGGTAATTTGGGATGTAGGGTTTTAATAGCATAGCAGAGAAGGCCTTCTTGACCAAGTGGCATTTAAGGGACCACATGAAGGAGAGAGCCAGGTAGGTGCCTAGAGAAGAGCGTTTCTGGCAGAAGGAGCAGCCCGTGCAAAGGCCCTGGGGTAGGATCATACATGGCATGTTGGAGGAACAGCATGGAGGCCCGTGTGGTGGGAGCAGGGTGAGCCAGGGGGTGAGAGGGAGGAAGAGAGGGAGGGGGGGAGGGCCTTGTGGGCATCGGGGAGGACTGGGGCTTTTCCTTTGCCAGATGTGGGAGCCATGGAGGGTTGTCTGCAGAGGAGGGAGGGAGGTGCCCTGGCTTGGTTCTCACAGGCACCCTGGCTCAGTACTCACAGGCGCCCTCTGGTGGCTGTTGCAGGAGGACCGCCTTTTGGTTGATGAGAGTGAACACAGGGAACACAGATGATACCTTCCAAGGCCTGAGAGTCTGGAATGGAATAGCCCAGGGAGAGACAGTGGGGTGCACCGCTCATCCTCCCTTCTCTTGGATCTCGGATATGCTGAAGAATTGGCTCTGAGATGCTAGGGAAAGGAAGGAGTCGAGAATGACTCCAGGTTTTTGGCGTGAGTGCCTGGTAAGACCAAGCCACAGTTAGACAAGATAGAGAGGGGAGGTAGGTTTGGGTGAGCAGGCTTAGGGAGCAATCGGGAGCTTGGCTGTCCTCTACTGGGTATGAGGGGCCTGGGCCCTCAAAGAGACATGAAGGAGGCAGTGGGCACGGCAGTCTCGCCTTCTAGGGAGAGTGGTAATGTAGGAGTTGCCAGCCCAAGGCTGGTGTTTACAGCCATGAGCCTGGATAGGGTCACCTGGCGAGTGGGTGTGGACAGAGATGCCTGTCCTGGGGCTCCCTGATGTTCAAAGGTGTAGTGGGAGTGGCTGCGAGGTGGGGAGTCAGGGGACACCTGAAGGCAGGGAAGGAGGGAAAGCCACTGGGTGCCTGTGGTTCGGGCCCGGGAGGTGCTGAGGCTGACACTGACTATGGGGGCGAAAGCATGCTTGGTTTGAGTTCTGGGACTGGGATAGGAGGTGGAATGAGTGAGTGTAGATGACACCTTCGAGGGGCTTCAGAGTCTGGAGAGGAAAGAATCAGGCAGTGCCCAGAGCAGGAAGTGGAGTCAAGAGAGAATGTTTTCTAGAGGGAGAATTCCAAGTGTGTAGATACAGCCCCACAGTGTGGCAAGGGGAAGGGCAGAACAGGGCTGCCTGTTGGGTTCCAGACTCTGCTCCCTCAGTGTGGCAGGGGCCCCAGGTAGGGCTGGGGACCTCTGGGTCAGCCAGGGCTCAGCCCGGCTGCCAGCACCTCCCTGAGCTCAGGAGGGCCACTATGCCCATCTCTGCCTGGACAAGGAAGCGTCATCCTCACTGGATGCCCCCCAACTCCTTGGGACCAGGGGTGACCAAGCCACTGGGCCAACCCACCTTCAGGTGCCAGGGCACAAGCCCCATGCTTGGGTGTCTACGGGGCTTCTGGCTGTATCAGGTGTGCACACACACCAGTCTCCTCCGCGTGGTATGTCCTGCTTCTGGGGCCAGCCCACCCAGGCCCCACCTCAGAGCCCGGGGCGGCTGGGCCCCTAGGGACAGTGCTTCCATGTCTGGGACAGAAAACACTTTACAGGGCAGGTCACCCCCAGCCTGACCAGCTGGCACCTGCTCTGCCTAGGGAACACACTCCTGGTGCCCCCTGGCCAGCATGAGACAGGCCTGCTGCTCACCCCGTGTTGACCGGGCTCAGGCTCCCTTTCCCTGGGAGCTGTTGCCCACCAACCCTTATCTTCCTCCCATCCATGCTGCGCTGACTCCCTTGTGGGCCGGGATTTGCATCTTGCCAAGCTGTTCTGCTGCACACCCGCCTTCTGGGACAATGCATACCTGTGTTGGAGCCCTGTGAGGATCTGTGCACACGCGTGGACTGCCCCTTGAACGAGGACATGGCCTTGGCTGGAGTTCCCTGCAGCTCAGCAGGGGACGTGACCCTGGGGAAGGGGTGGTGGGAGGTGGCCGCAGGCTCTTTCTTCCAGGCTGCGGCCTCCAGGCACATTCCTTTTCCTCACTCTTCGATCTGTGCCAAAGCTGGATGTCGGTTTGCTGCACGAGGAGGGGTTTGGGGGTTGGGATGGGGAGAGTGCCTCATATCCTGTCACTATCTGTAGCAGTGACCCTTCCCAAGCCCTGACCAGAAACCACAACAACCGTGACGACTGCCCATTCGTGTCCCTTCCTGGGTGATGCCTGCTCTTTTTTTTTGTGGGTGGGAGAGACAGAATCTCTGTTGCCCAGGCTGGAGTGCAGCGGTATAATCTCGGCTCACTGCAGCCTCCACCTCCTGGGCTCAAGTGATTCTCCCACCTCAGCCTCCTGTATAGCTGGGGCTATAGGCACCCACCACCACGCCGGGCTAACTTTTGTATTTTTTATAAAGATGGGGTTTCACCATGTTGGCCAGACTGGGCTCAAACTCAAGTGATCCGCCTGCCTTGGCCTCTCAAAGTGCTATTTGACAGGCGGGAATCCACCGTGCCTGGCCATGCCTGCTCTGACTTCCTCCTCTTGTGACTGCCTCCCTGTTCACACATTTGGAAAAAGCAGTGCAGAGGTGAGGTGACTTGCCCAAGGTCACCTGGCTCAGGAGGCTTCTCAAGCCGTGTCTCGCTGCCCAGCCACCAGGCTGCAGGTGGAGGCTCAGGGTTGATGGATCTCGAGCCGCCCTGCCTGCCTGGCTGCCTGGGTCCCCATGATCCACCTGGGACAGCCCTGCTCTGAGGTCGAGAGAGAGGCAGGTGTTGTGTTAACTGCAGTGGCTGTTTCTGGAAGGCAGGAGCCTCTCTTTGCTTCTGCACTACTTAGCATGGTGCCTGCAGGTTCCCAGCTCCAGGCACCTCCGACTCCTCCACACCATTAGCTGCTGCGTTGGTGCAGCACTCAGAGAGCCGGTGGGAAGGTTCTGAGGGTGGTCATGGGTGGAGCATGAGGAATCACAGAACCTTGCCTCCCCACCCAGTGGTGCTCATCGGGGACTCGGGCGTGGGCAAGAGCAACCTGCTGTCCCGCTTCACCCGCAACGAGTTCAACCTGGAGAGCAAGAGCACCATTGGCGTGGAGTTCGCCACCCGCAGCATCCAGGTGGACGGCAAGACCATCAAGGCGCAGATCTGGGACACAGCCGGCCAGGAGCGCTACCGTGCCATCACCTCCGCGTGCGTGTCAGCGGCCTGGGCAGGGACGCTGAGATGTGGGGGCGTGGGCAGACGGCGCGTGGGCTTGGAAAAATGTGTAGGAGTTGGGCAGGAGAAGGGGAGAGCATGCCCCAAGAGCAGAGAGTGAGGTTGGAAGAACACCCCAGCCATGTACTGTAGGACCCTAAGGCAGACCAGCACCCAGCCTTGGCCACACTGGGGGTATCTCTGGGTGCAGTGAGGATCTGGCTCCAGCCACTCCACCTTGCCACTGCCTCTGCCCAGTTAGCTCCCCAGCCTTCCTCCTCCCCCAGCTCCCCTCTGCTGGGACTTAACACCTTGTCCCACATCCCTCCTGTCTTCCCGCCCAGGCCCCACTTCCCCACAAAGGCCTCCCAGACATCAGGATCCACTCAGCTGCCTTTTTCAGGACCCCTCCCAAGCCCCCCAGCCATTCCCACCAGCATGGTCTCTCTGTCGCCTCGAGGTCCTCGGCTCTCATCTTCATCCCTTGGGGCCATCTGTCTATCTGTCATCTCCTCTTTTTTCGAGACAGAGTCTTGCTCTGTCACCCAGGCTGGAGTGCAGTGCCACAATTGCAGATCACTGTACCCTCGATCTCCCAGGCTCAAGCGATCCTCCTGCCTCAGACTCCTGAGTAGCTGGGGCTGCAGGCGTACACCACCATACCTGGCTTATATTATTTTAATGTATGTTTGTTTATTTATTTTATTTTGAGATGGAGACTTGCTCTGTCACCCGGGCTGCAGTGCAGTGGCATGATCTCGGCTCACTACAACCTCTGCCTCCCTGGATCAAGCGATTCTCCTGCCTCAGCCTCCTGAGTAGCTGGGATTACAGGCGCCTGCCACCACGCCTGGCTAAATTTTTGTATTTTTAGTAGTGACCATATTGGCCAGGATGGTCTCGAACTCCTGACCTTGTGATCCACCCACTTCAGCCTCCCAAAGTGCTGGGATTACAGGTGGAAGCCACCATGCCCAGCCTTATTTTTTTGAAAGACAGGGTCTTGCTGTTCCCCAGGTTGGAGTGCAGTGGTGCGATCATCGCTCACTTCACCCTTGAATTCCTCCTGAGTTCAAGCGATTCTCCCACCTCAGCCTCCCAAAGTGCTGAGATTAGGTGTCTGTCTCCTCAGAGGGCTGAGCCTGGCCCTGCATGGCAGGCAGTGGCCTTTTCTCTGCACAGCTGCAGTTTCTTTCTCCCCAGCTTTTTTTTTTTTAAAGATGGGTCTTGCTCTGTCCCCCAGGCTGGAGTGCAGTGGTGTGCTCTCAGCTCACTGAAACCTCTGCCTCCCAGGCTCAAGTGATCCTCCCACTCAGCTTCCCGAGTATCTGGGATTACAGGCACGTACCACCACACTTGGCTAATTTTTGTATTTTTCTAGTACAGACAGGGTTTCACCATGTTGGCCAGGCTGGTCTGAAACTCCTAGTCTCAAGTGATCTGCCTTCCTCAGCCTCCCAAAGTGCTGGGATTACAAGCATGAGCCGCCACACCTAGCCCCTTTTCCCCTTTTTTTGATGACCTCATGGTATCTTCTATCCCCAACCCCCGCATTCCCTCCTCAGGCCCCCACATTTCAGAACTGAATCCAGGGAGCAGAGCTAGGGCCTCTAGACTCACATCCTTCCCTTGAGGCCACAATGGTTGGCCCTGGGCGTGACATGTGCTGTTATCCCAAGAGGCCGCCACTGTCCACGGTCCCCCTTAAGAGTGGCTCACGGGCCCCTGACCCTGCAGGTACTACCGCGGCGCTGTGGGTGCCCTGCTTGTGTACGACATCGCCAAGCACCTGACCTATGAGAACGTGGAGCGCTGGCTGAAGGAGCTTCGGGACCATGCAGACAGCAACATTGTCATCATGCTGGTGGGCAACAAGAGTGACCTGCGCCACCTGCGGGCTGTGCCCACCGATGAGGCCCGAGCCTTTGCAGGTGAGCAGATGGAGACGCAGACATCAGAAGTGTCTGGAAGGCAGGACAACCCCTCAGTGTGGGGACCTGGCCACGGCCCTGGCGTCCCTTCCCTGAGGAGTGGCTCATGTCCTGGGCTAGGTGGGTGAGCGGGGTCCCTGAGAGCATGTGGGAGCGTCACCCCGTCTCCCCACTCACCTGGGCATTATTCTCTGTTCCAGAAAAGAACAACTTGTCCTTCATTGAAACTTCGGCCTTGGATTCCACCAACGTAGAGGAAGCCTTCAAAAACATCCTCACAGGTGGCCCGGGGGCCGGATGGGTGTGGGTAGGGCACTAGCCAGGCAGGGTGGAACAGGAACACTCTGAACCTTCACTTGTTTTGTTCATTTGTTTGATTTTTGCTTGCTTGCTTTCTTTTTTGGGGGAACGGAATCTTGCTCTTTTGCCCAGGCTGGAATGTGGTAGCTTAATTTCAGCTCACTGCAACCTCCGTCTCCCGGGTTCAAGCGATTCTCCTGCTTTAGCCTCCTGAGTAGCTGGGATTACAGGTGCATGCCACCACACCCAGCTAATTTTTATATTTTTAGTAGAGACGGGGTTTCGTCATGTTGGCCAGGATGGTCTCTATCTCTTGACCTGGTGATCCGCCTGCCTCAGCCTCCCAAAGTGCTGGGATTACAGGTGTGCGCCACCATGTCCTGCTAATTTTTGTATTTTTAGTAGAGACAGTTTTACCATATTGGCCAGACTGGTCTCGAACTCCTGGGCTCAAGTGATCTGCCTGCCTCAGCCTCCCAAAGTGCTGGGATTGCAGGTGTGCGCCACCATGTCCTGCTAATTTTTGTATTTTTAGTAGAGACAGTTTTACCATATTGGCCAGACTGGTCTCGAACTCCTGGGCTCAAGTGATCTGCCTGCCTCGGCCTCCCAAAGTGCTGGGATTGCAGGTGTGAGCCACAGCACCTGGCCTGTTTGTTTGATCTTTTTTCTACCACAGCCCCTAACCTTTGTTTGTTAAACCTGCCAACCCACATGGACACTTCACAGGGTCAGACAAGCTTTAGCCCTTGCTGGCACTGGGGACACAGAGACACCCCCCCCCCCCCGCCCAGTCCCAGTTCCTGGAGAGGGGCCCTACCTTGACTCTTGGCGCTTGGGGGGAGCAGGTGGCCTCAGGGACCTGTAGCCCTTTGGCTTCTGGGAGTTTACCTCTGAGGGAGAAGGGTGCTTCCAGTCTTAGGGAGCGAGAGGCCAGGGCTGGCCGTGACCAGATGTGGGTCCTGCCCCGGCTGAGTGTGCAGCCCTGTCCTTGTTACCCCTGATGTGATGGGGGCACTGTGGGGACCTGGAGAGGAGCTCTGGAGTCCTGCAGGGAGGGGCCCCCTTGGCGGGCAGGGCACACGCTGGCTCACCTGACGTCCCCCTGTGCCCCCTTGGCAGAGATCTACCGCATCGTGTCACAGAAACAGATCGCAGATCGCGCCGCCCACGATGAGTCCCCTGGGAACAACGTGGTGGACATCAGCGTGCCGCCCACGACGGATGGACAGAAGCCCAACAAGCTGCAGTGCTGCCAGAACCTGTGACCCCTGCGCCTCCATCTGCCTCTGCCATGGTGTCCTCCGGCCCCCTCCCTGCTGTCTCTCTGTGGCCGGCTCGCTCCAGCCCTCCCAGTGAGCTCTGCATGGCCGGGCCAGGGCCCAGGAAGGACAGGAGCCAGTGCTACCCCCGTCCTGCCTGGGAAAAAGCTAGAAGCCCCGGTTTGCTGCACCCACCCAACTCGGGTCCCCTTGGGTGTCTTGGCTGGATGGGGAGGGTGGCAGGATGGACAGGGCTGGCCAGAGGTGAGGAGGACAGGCGCATATTGCCGGCTTCTCTCCTTTTCCTTGGCAGGAGTGATTGCCTCCCTCCCTCTGTGGCTGGGTGACCCAGCCAGCCCATCATCCCCACCCAGAACCCTGCTCCAGTCCAAAGCCCCAAGAACCAGGCAGCAGGGTCCAGGGCAGGCGGAAACCCCAGGCTCTCGGCACCCACCCGCTCCTCCGCGAATAGCAGCTCGCACAGGCCTCCCACCTCTGCCTGTTGATTGATGCAGGGAGAAGCCCGTCACCCTCTCCCCCACCCATCTCCTGCACGCAGCGCGCCCTCTTGGCCCTCCCACTCCCCCTTCTCTGTCTCGTTTCCCCTCTGGTCTGGAACCTGTTTGCAAGTGAAGCAATATCTCCATGTTTTGTATATACAACCGCTCTTGTAGCCTTTGGTTTTTGTTATTGTAGAGAAACACAGATTCTTTATACACTTTGTAAGATTTATGCCAAACCCCAGCTCTCGACCTCTTCTTCTCCCTGTGGCCTCTGCACTGTTGCCCCCGTCCCTGTCCCCTTGCCCATTACTAAAATGTATAATCCAACTTCCTGTACAGAAACTTGCCACTGTGCCTCTGTCTTCTTTCTTTCCACCAGGTGCCCGCTCCTGGGCCAAGGCCAATCTTGCTGCATGTTCCCCAATGCAGGCCAGACCCCCCATCTCCATGGCCCAGCCCAACAGGGAACAGGAGGACCCCAGCACCTGCCAAGGGCAGCTTGGAGGCTCTCTGAGCTGGCCCAGTGCATTTGGGGTGGGCCCTCTCCAGGCTGCCCCTATGGCAGGGAGGGAGGGAAGGCTGCAGCTTGTCCTTGACCTTAAACTCCCCAGTCCTAGGACCACAGGACTGCGGGCACCCCCTGGTAGGGACGGGAGCCAAGGGTAGTGGCCAGGGTTTATCACTTTATCTCCTGCCAGGGCCGCCCCTCCCCTGGGGTCCTGATGAGGGGGGCTTGCCCTGCAGATGTTAGTGATGCCAGCTGTCTCTACCCTAGACTGACACCAGAGGAGAGCCTGCTGGGGGAATGCTGGGGACAGTAAAATGTGTGGCATGGGAATCCTCTTCCTAGGATTCAGCGTCTCTCTCCACCTCACCCCTGTGGTGACCTTGCAACCAGTGTGAGCTGCCAGCAGCTTTCCAAAAGCTCCAGCTGCTAGCTGAAGAGACCACTCACACCTGGAGACCCCAGGGACACCTGAGAGAGGGCAGTCCCATTCCCTCTTGATTCTAGACTCTGGATGCCCTGCCTGGAGGGATGGGGGATTGCAGACATGTTTTTCCCAGAAGAGCTCCAGGCCGCCGGAAGCTGTTTAGATGGGAACTGGAGTGAGCCAAGGTGTGCATCCCAGGCCCAGGGAGCAGTCTGACACAAAGCTAACTGGCAGAATCGGAGGCAGCTGTGCACCCTTGGCTCCGGGGCCCATTCACACAGACCCCAGGAAAGTGGATTCCCCTGTGTTTGGACAGAGCCGGTCATGTGATAGACAGAGGCATTGGGTGCTAAGCAAGAAAGCACCTCAAGTTTTTTGTTATGTTTGTTTTTTTTTAGACAGAGTCACACTCTGTTGCCAAGACTGGAGTGCAGTAGTACGATCTCTGCTCTCTACAACCTCTGCCTCACAGGTTCAAGGGATTCTCCTGCATCAGCCTCTGGACTAGCTGAAACTAGAGGCACGCGCCATCACACGTAGCTAATTTTTGTATTTTTAGTAGAGATGGAGTTTCATCATGTTGGCCAGGCTGGTCTCGAACTCCTGACCTCATGTGATCCACCTGCCTTGGCCTCCCAACGTGTTGGGAATACAGGCATGAGCCACTGCACCCAGCCTTACCACCGTGAGTTTCAGGCAGTCAAAAGATCAACAAATATTTCTAGAGCCTCCACTATCAGCTAGGTCTGAGGTAGGGTCTGACTAATGTGTTCCATGTCCCTTTAAGAGTCACAGGCCGCCGGGCGCAGTGGCTCAAGCCTGTAATCCCAGCACTTTGGGAGGCCGAGGTGGGTGGATCACGAGTTCAAGAGATCAAGACCATCCTGGTCAACATGGTGAAACGCCGTCTCTACTAAAAATACAAAAAATTAGCTGGGCGTGGTGGCACATGCCTGTAATCCCAGCTACTCAGGAGGCTGAGGCAGGAGAATTGCCTGAACCCAGGAGGCAGAGGTTCCGGTGAGCCAAGATCGTGCCATTGCACTCCAGCCTTCCAGCCTGGGTAACAAGAGCGAAACTCTGACTCAAAAAAAAAAAAAAAAGAGTCACAGGCCAGCAATGCCGTTTTAATTGCTCTGATTTCAGTGATCTTTCGTATCTTTCATTTTAGTTTTATTTTTTAAAGATGGGGTTTCTCCATGATGGCCAGGCTGGTTTTGAACTCCTGACCTCAGGTGATCCACCCACCTCGGCCTCCCAAAGTGCTAGGATTACAGGTGTGAGCCACCGTGCCCGGCCATCTTTTATTTTTTTTTTGAGATGGAGCCTCGCTCTATAGCCCAGGCTGGAATGCAGTGGTGAGATCTCGGTTCACTGCAACCTCTGCCTCCCCGGTCCCAGTTCAAGCAATTCTTCTACCTCAGCCTCCCAAGTAGCTGGGATTACAGGCACAAGCAACCATGCCCAGCCAATTTTTGTATTTTTTAGTAGAGACAGGGTTTCACCATGTTGGCCAGTCTGGTCTTGAACTCCTGACCTCGTGATCTGCCTGCCTCTGCCTCCCAACGTGCCGGGATTACAGGCATGAGCCACAGCACCCAGCCTTAGCACCTTGAGTTACAAGCAGTCAACAGATCAACAAATATTTCTAGTGCCTCCACTATCTGGTAGGCCTGAGGTGGGGACTGACTAATGTGTTCTGTGTCCCTTTAAGAGTCACAGGCCAGCAATGCCATTTTAATTACTCTGATTTTGGTGGGTTATTTTGTTTGTTTTTGTTTTTTAAGACAGGGTCTCACCATGTTGGCCAGGCTGCTTTTGAATTCCTGACTTCAAGTGATCCACCTGCCTCGGCTTCCCAAAGTGCTAGGATTACAGGCGTGGGCCACCACACCCAGCCCTGATTTCCGTGATTTAATAAGCACATCATGCTTACTCTGCTAGGCCCTGTTCTTAAATCTTTTATTAATATGGTAACATAGATATAACATAAAACTTATCTTTTTTGTTTGAGATGGAGTCTAGCTCTGTCACCCAGACTGGAATGCAATGGCACGATCACGGCTCACTGCAACCTCTGCCTCTCAGGTTCAAGAGATTCTCCTGAGTTGGCCTCCCAAGTACCTGGGATTACAGGTGCCCACCACCATACCCAGCTAATTTTTGTATTTTTAGTAGAGATGGGATTTCACTGTATTGGGCAGCCTGGTCTCGAACTCCTGACCTTGTGATCCATCCACCTCAGCCAGCCTCCCAAAGTGCTGGGATTACAAGTGTGAGTCACTGTGCCCAGCCGTTTTTTTTTTGTTCGTTTGTTTCTTTGTTTTGTTTTTCTGAGACCGAGTCTCGCTCTGTCGCCCAGGTTGGAGTGCAGTGGCGTGATCTCGACTCACTGCAACCTCCACCTCCTGGATTCAAGTGATTCTGCCTCAACCTCCTAAGTAGCTGGGACTATAGTCACTTACCACCAAGCCTGGCTAATTTTTTTAATTTTTAGTAGAGATGGGGTTTCGCCATGTTAGCCAGGATGGTCTTGATCTGCTGACCTCGTGATCCACCCAACTCGACCTCCCAAAGTGCTGGGATTACAGGTGTGAGCCACCAGGCCCAGCCCCCCTTTTTTTTTAGACAGGGTCTCCCTTTACTCAGGCCGGAGTGCAGCGGCATGATCTCGGCTCACTGCAACCTCCAGTTCCAGGCTCCAGCCATCCTCCCACCTCAGCTTCCCAAGTAGCTGGAACCACAGATACATGCCATGATGCCTGGCTAATTTTTGTATTTTTTGTCGAGGCAGGGGGTCTCACTATGTTGCCCAGACTGGTCTTGAACTCCTGGGCTCAAGCAGTCCGCCCACCTCAGCCTCTCAAAATGTTGGCATCATAGGTATGAGCCACCATGCCTGGCCCATACGGCAATTCTAAGTTTGCTTTTCTTAGAGACTGTGTTAAATCTTTCACTCATCATTATTTGTTATTTCAACATCCCTAGGAGGTGGGCATAATATCCTGGCCCCTTTTACAGAAGTTAAGCAACTTATCTAAGGTCCCACAGTTAGTAAGATACAAACAGGTTTCAAACCCAGAGCTGTGTGTGTAATGGTGAATTTGTAAGTCTTCTCCTACTGTTTATTGAATACCAGCTATGAGCCAGAAAACTCTCAGAAGTGGATAGAATGCCCAGATAAAAGACTGAGAAGATAGCCAGGCACAGTGGTGTGACCTGTAGTTCCAGCTACTCCTCTGGGTCTGAAACAGGAAGCTTTCTTTCCTTTTTTTTTTTTGAGATGGAGTCTCACTGTTCCCTAGACTGGAGTGCAGTGGCATGATCTTGTCTCACTGCAACCTCTGCTTCCCGGGTTCAAGTGATTCTTCTGTCTCAGCCTCCCAAGTAGCTGGGATTATAGGCACATGCCTCTACGCCCAGCTAATTTTTTTGTGTGTGTGTATTTTTTTTTTTTTTTTTTTTTTTTTTAAGACAGAGTTTCACTCTTGTTACCCAGGCTGGAGTGCAATGGCGCGATCTCGGCTCACCGCAACCTCCGCCTCCTGGGTTCAGGCAATTCTCCTGCCTCAGCCTCCCGAGTAGCTGGGATTACAGGCACATGCCACCATGCCCAGCTAATTTTTTGTATTTTTTTTAGTAGAGACGGGGTTTCACTATGTTGACCGGGATGGTCTCGATCTCTCGACCTCGTGATCCACCCGCCTCGGCCTCCCAAAGTGCTGGGATTACAGGCTTGAGCCACCGCGCCCGGCCCTTTTTTTTGTATTTTTAATAGAGAAAGGGTTTCACTGTGTTAGCCAGGATGGTCTCGATCTCCTGGCCTTGTGATCTACCTGCCTTGCCCTCCCAAAGTGCTGGAATTACAGGCATGAGCCACCACAGACAGCCGACAGGAGGATTTCAAGTAGAAGCTGACAATGAAAAACAGGAGGATCACTTAAACCCAGGAGTTACAGTCCAACCTGGGCCACACAGGAAGACCCAGTCTCTAAAAAAATAATAAGAAAAGTTGAGAGTATGGCTCATGCCTGTAATTCCAGCACTTTGGGACACCAAGGCAGGCAGATTGCATGAGCCCAAGAATGTGAGACCAGCCTGGGTGACATGGTGAAACCCCATTTCTACAAAAATTAGCCAGGCATGGTGGCATGCATCTACTTGGGAGGCAGAGAAGGGAAGATCAATTGAATTAGGGCGGCGGAGGCTGCAGTAAGCTGTGATTACAGCCTGGACAACAGAGGTAGACACTCACAATGAATGAATGAATGAATGAATGGAGACTGGGACAAAGTATGACAACATTTTAAAAGTATTTTATTATGGGCCACACATGGTGGCTCATGCCTGTAAGCCCAGCAATTTGGGAGGCTGAGGTGGGTGGATCACCTGAGGTCAGGAGTTCAAGACCAGC